TTTGTTTTGAGACTCCAGAAGGAGCAGAAAGAGAGAGTGATGATTAAATCATCTAGAAGTAGAATATAGTGGGAAAAGAAGTAATGACCCAAACATGCAAGCTTAAAAAAGGCATAGGAAAAGTAAGAAAGGAAAGAGAATTAGGAATGTAAGAGGTACTTCAGGAAAGTACATAGTTCTTGAAACTAAACAGAAGGTGAATGAGAGGAGTGTCTAAGAAAAGGAAATGGTAAGTTGTGGAAGGAAAAAAATATTGGGGAGAGTAAAAGTGAAGAAGATGCCCTAAGGGTCTGTCGTTAGTAGGACAGTGGCTCCTTTTAATAAAAAACAGCTTTCTTTTAAAAAAGAAAGTGAAAACCAAATTATTCTGATCTAACAGGGAGTTAGAAGCAGAAGAGTAAAGAAAGAGGAGAGATGACAAAAGAAATGTGAATGTAAGAAGAAAGGGAGTGGCTAGCTTGAGAGAGAAGCAAACATCTCTTTGTTAGGCAAGGGATTTTAGCATTTCAGAAGTCAAAACATTACCTGGAAAAAAACTCATGACTTATGAGAAAAGTAGCATTTTTTATTTTAAAATTAAAAGTCTATGGTCCATGTGTGGTAGGTAGTGGTTTTGTTTGTGGTGTGTGTGTTTTTTTTTTTTTTTTTTTTTTTTTTAAATACTTTTGGTTCAGTAGTCAAGTATGGATTCAGTGCCAAGAAATTGGGAAGGAGGGAAGATTTTGTTTTGATTGAACCAAAAGGTTTTGGAGTTTTTTAGATGAGATAAAGAATTAAAGAAATCCTTTTGCTTGGCACTAAAGATTTCATTCAACACAGAACAAAACAGTTTGTGGATTTGTAAGGAAAACCAAATTTGTAGGACTTGGTTCACAGATCATGAAGACAGCAGTGAACTAGTGGTGATTTTGGTAAGGGTTTTTCTATCATCCTTTGACCTCCAATGTGTTAGGTAAATGGGAAGAACATCATCGCTGTCTTCTCTAATTTCCCTTCGTTTTGTGCGTCTTATTCAGAGGCTTATTTCAAGTTCAAGTTTTTCGTAAACATGACCTCTAGTAGTAAAATATAGTTATACAGGTGTTCAGGGTTTTTTTGGGGTGTGTGTGGTTTTTTTTTTTTTAAATGTAGATTCCTTTACTTCTGTGATTTTGGAAGTAAAAGCAGAGCTCTGTATTTGATCAGGGAAGCTTCCATGAGGCACCCAGGGTAATATGAAGTAGAAAGCTAAGTAGGTCCTGTTAGGATGCGATCGACCTAAATTCAGGGGCACTTCTGCAGCATTAGGGGAAAAAACCCAAAAATGTAAGTTAAGGAAGTTTTTGTCTCAAACAGATTGCTTTCTTGCTCTCTTCAGCTCCATTCAGGCTGTCTGTATCTCAGTTCCTTTTTCCTGTTTGGGGAAAAAAGTAATGTGCTATCAGAGGCTGTGCTAGGGACCCAGGTTGAAGATTCCCTTGGGCACCTGTTGCTCCTTGAACTCTATGAGACTGAACTCAAGGGTGGTGTTATTTCTCTGGGACTTCAGCCAAAACAACCAAGAGCAAGTCATCCTGGTGAGTTAGAAAGCAGAAGGATCCCAAAACAGAACCAGTGAATTACTTGCTGACATAGGCTGACAGACGAGTACCTCAGAATGCACAGAGGCAGCAAAGGTGATACAGTTCACAAAACAAGTTTCTAATGTCATGCTACAAGTCTTATGTTTTTGTGTAAGCTTTTCTTTGAGGATTTCTTTGTTTGCATTGATGCAATATTCCTGCTTCTTATTTTCTCCATACTTTTTTTTTTCCTGGTCTTGCTAGTAGATTTTAGTATCAAGGGTTAAAATGTCACCAGTATCTTTCCTGTGACTTAAGTGAGTGTTACTGTGTTTTGTATCTTTTAGACATTTGGTCTTACCTTTAAACAAAGCCAAACCTGAATGAAGCCAAACCAAGAAATCCTTTCTTGGTTTAGTTTTTCTAATAGCCACTTGTATTTTTTATTAAGAATTCATCTGAATTCTTTTTTCTTTTCAGTTTAGAACTGAAACATCAGCTTCTTATTTTTGAACTTTTAAAGATTACCCACCCCCAATTAGAAGTCTTCATGTCCATTCCTCTATATAGGATATTTTAAGACAATATAAATTGCCATTAATTTGTCTTTGACTTACATATAAATCCAATTTATTTAGTTATATCAGAGTTGTATATGTTTCACTGTTCAAATCATGTTTGTAGCTGTTTGAAATTATATAGGAGACTTTCATAAATGTTTGGTAGCTAGGCTTTGTTCAAATGCTTAAAATTGATCACGAGAGTGCTGAATAGGAATTCACATGCAGTTACAGCATATGAATTGCTCAGTGGGATCATGAAGTCTAATCTTGCCAATAATTAATTCCCCAGTGTTGCATATGACTTGGCCTTTGTGGTGATCTGCTGCACAGATAGCAGCTTACGTTTTTGTTTTTTTCTGTATTAGAACACTGTAGCCTAATTACTAGGCTTATTATAGGCTGGGTGATGAAATGTTTCTGTTCTGTGAGATACAGAAGATCAACATAGATAATATAATGATCTCTTCAGGCCTTCATCTTTATGAAACTGTTCTGCAATAAACGGATCCAACTGTCTTAAGCCTGCCAGGATTGCTGATATGTTATTGCCTGAGTGTCACTTCTTTGAGCGCTATTAATTTACAATCATTTTTAACATCTGAGGAAGCAGAAGTTATGAAGTTCTGTCCGTTGTAAAGTCTGATGGTTTCATAGCTTGCCCATTTGAACTATGACCTTGTGTTTTGGCATGTGGAGGTAAGAATGACAGTATAAATGTATCTTAAACTTTGTGTAAAAACAATAAAATAAAAGTATGAAAAATCCCAACTATGTGTCTGTTGAAATATTTCTGATGATGGTACGTATTTAAACAAAATGACCTATTAATGCAAGAATCTATAGTCTACTTGACCTTATGCAATATGGACCTTTGTATAAATGAGGTTATTACATAGGTGATAACTCTTTGCTCTCCTGAAATCAGATGCTTGCATCTGCCCCTCAAACCTGGTATCCTGTACCTTTCACAGATTTAATGAAAAACTCAAATCCTTCACATATAGCATGACTTTATATTTTGTATTGGTAATCAGAGAAGGTTTTTGAATGAAAAGCAGGATTCACCCTGCTTAACTTTCTGCTTTTTCCAATATGACCATTTCTGTTACTCTTGTTCACTTTTTAAAATTATTTTTATTTCATGTCTCTTCCAATAGACATTTTAATGTAGATACTGCTTAACATCACTTTAGGAAGAAAATAAATTTCATCAAAATGAGGGGGGATTATCCCATATTCACTTCACTGTAAACA